TAGGTAGGTAGGTAGGTAGGTAGTAGTAGTAGCAGTACTTGTATTTGTATTTCCCCACCTGCCAGGTGAGGGTTGTTAGATTTTATCACAGTTGTTCTCCTCCTCCGCCTCCTCCTCATCCTCCACCTCCTTCTCCTCCTCCCTCTCCTCCAGCTTCTCCTCCACCACCTTTGCATCCACTCTCATGTTCACTTCCACCTTGCCAACTCTTCGCCAAGCTCTTCGCCAACTTCCGCACGCAGTGGGCACTGCTGGACCTCAACTGCAAGGGTCTGAGCGCACTGGGCACCGCTGGACCTCAACCTGGGACCTTCCGAGCTCAGTGAGCACCGCTGGACCTGAAGCTGGGACCGTCCGAGCTCAGTGTGCACCGCTGGACCTCAACCTGGGACCCCCCGAGCTCAGTGAGCACCGCTGGGCGTCAACCTGGGACCCTCCGAGCTCAGTGAGCACCAGATAGAATGCCAGAAGATATGCCAGATAGAACGCCAGATAGAATTGTCAGAAAGAATGCCAGAAGATATGCCAGATAAAATGCCAGAATGTTTGCCAGATAGAATGCCAGAAGATATGCCAGATAGAATGCCAGAAGGTATGCCAGATAGAATGTCAGATAGAATGCCAGAAGGTATGTCAGATAAAGTGCCAGAATGTTTGCCAGATAGAACGCCAGAAGATTTGCCAGATAGAATGCCAGAAAGAATGTCAGAAGATATGCCAGAAGATATGCCAGATAGAATGCCAGAAGATATGCCAGAACATATTGCAGAAGATATGCCAGGTAGAATGCCAGAAGATATGCCAGATAGAATGCCAGAAGATATGCCAGATAAAATGCCAGAGGATATGTCAGATAGAATGCTAGAATATTTGCCAGTAACAAAACGTATAGATTTCATGGTGGGGATAACTCGAAGTAAAGTAATTGTGTTTGCACTTGTATTTGTACTTGTACTTGTACTTGGATGTGGGGTGACTTTGATTCAGACGAAGCAAAAACAGCAAGAGAACACAGGAACAAGTACCAACCAAGAACCGAAACAAAAACAACACCTTCCAATCAGACACGCCGGCGGGCCGGCGGATTAATTGCTTACTAAGTGGGATGATCCTCCAGGTAAGGAGTAATGTTTCATTGTGTTAGGTGTTTCAAGAAAGGCAAGCGCTCTGAGGAAAACCGGAAAACAACAATGTCCAGAGTCTCTTGAGCCGTGCTTGCATGCTACTGCTAGTGTTTAGATGAAGCAGTTACTTCTTTGCAAGCAAACCAACTTCCAATTGCTTCTCGACCGTTTCCATGAAGACGAATTCTGCTTGTTGTAATGGCCACAATCTGGGCCCCCCCCGCGTGGTTAATTGATTGATAAACCCCATCAACTATGTTAGATCTCAGTATCCATATTTATTGAAATATGTCGACCACCTTAGCTATTGCCTGGGGTCCGCACTTGGAAGGAGACTGATTTTGACAACTTACACTTTTCGCGAGAGGTGGGAAACATGGCGGTTGCAGGAAGTTCCATGGGGATTGGTCCAATTTTTTCAGCACCAGCGAACGGAAACCAGGCCCCACCAGTGGGAAAAAAAACAATTGCGTCCATTCTGCTGCTGGCTTACAAGTTCTGCAAGACTTTGGCGGATCTTCCATGTTGATGTTTGTTCTCAAGGGAGAAAAAAATGTTGAGTTTTGGCAAGATATGCATTGGTCAGGAATGTTCCGTCTCAATTTATGTTGCCCAATCTTTGAGTAGAATGGGTACTGTAATGTACTGTATTCTTACCAAAACATATGGAGGTTTCCTAAAACAGGGGTACCCCCAAATCATCCATTTTATTTTCGGATTTTTCATGAAATAAACGATCTATTTGGGGGAACCCCCGTTCCAGGAAAACCCCATATGATTGAAAATTTATGACGATAGCATCAGCAGATGCAACCTATCTACGGTCCTTGCAAAGTCCTATCAGGTGGAGAATGGGTGGAATCTCATCTACTGGCCACTGTGTGTGGACGGGGCACCCAGGGCACACCCAGGGCACACCCAGGGCACCCAGGGCACCCAGTTTCTTAGGTCATACAGTCATGATACTGTGGATGGTTGTGAAATCATGCACCAGCTACTAGGTGTTTTATACCATTCTTTTTAGGGTTTCGACCATCCAAGTTGGTGTTGAATTTTCCATCCACAGTATCTTGAAAAGAAGATGATGGTAAATGCATGTTAATTCCGCGGAGACTCAAATACATAACAAATCAACAATTCTTGGTGACATTATCCATACCAGTCAATAATTTCATTAGTTATCAACAGTGTCCAAGAACAAAGATCATGTAATGAACAACTTCGGAAAACCACCAATTCCTACTGATGCCGATGCCTTCCAAGTCAAAATCCAACTCTGAAGCATAAGGAGATGACCTCAGTTCGAAGTCAGTGTTTCCCTCCATCAACTACAGACATATCGACCATATGTATGTATGTAATGTATGTAATGTATGTATGTATGTATGTATGTATGTATGTATGTACGTACGTACGTATGTATGTATGTATGTATATATATATATTATATAATTATCAATCATTATAAATAATTTTCAATCATTATAATTATAACTAACCCATTAAAAAATCATATAAATCCATATATATAAATATACATCATGAAAAATCCATAATATAAATCCTAGTTATTGATGCTAAAAATGGAGCTATGAACAGGCCTGGCGCCTTCAAACTCCGGGTCTCCCCCTCGACCCGAGGCTTTGGCCACCTTTGACGAAGCGAAGCAGGCCATGCAGAAACATAAGGAGGTCAGGCACCTGTGCTGGCGATACCTGCGCCAGTTGGTGGTTTATCCCACGGTTTATCCCGTTGTTTTTTGTCCGTGCTCCATGGTTCCTAAGAGTTACTAAGTGGTGCAGGATCTTTTCCACATTTTGATGATGATGATGAATGATGATGATTATTGTTATTAGCAGAAATAATGGCGAGGATTGTGCAAACTGCTGAGGATGTTGGGGATGATTATTAGTACTATTATTATTGATGATGATGATGAAGATGAAAGGGAAAACAACACCACGAACCCCCCGGTCCAGTGGATTGGAAAATCAAGTTCCGAACTAAAAACAAGTGGCCGTATTTGAAAGCTGGTTGGTGGTTTACCACATTTTTTATTTTCCATAGTATATGGGATAATCATCCCAACTGACTTTCATATTTTCAAGATGGTTAAAACCACCAACCAGAAAGTGTTTTTGGGATTTTTTTTTGATACAATATAGGTGAAGAGTCGGTGGCTTGAGGGTGGTGCGTCTCCAGCTTCGCCAAGTGGGGAAAGGTTTTAAAAACATAGGTTAGTCCGATAGGTGAAAACGATAGGTAAATATCTGAGCCATCTTTAGGATCTATAGGTAAATAACTATAGGGTAACTTGGATCTTTAGGAGATATATTTCATCAAGTCCCACCTGGCCCTTCACCAATACCAATAGATCCTTAAGCTACAGTTCATGGACCTCAAGCGGTCCATCGCGAGGTGGTGGTGATGGGATGGAATGCCTGTCACGACTTGGAGGCGACATTTTCAGAGTGGTCAAATTACTTTAGGGCTGAGATTATACCAATGGGTTTTATATATATATAATATACATATACATACAATATCATGAAATGAGGTCATATCAATGGGTTCTATATACATATACATATGAACGATTATGATCAATTATATATATATATATATATGAATTCCAATGTTTCACGATTCAGACCTGAAAAACAATGGTGGTATGGGGTTATTCCACGGGACAATGATTGGGACGATGGGAGAATGATCGGTCAATGGAGGTAGACTTCTCCTTGCCATGTTTGAGGACACCGGAAGGTATAGCTAACCCCCAAAAAGCTGCAGACAAATATAATATTTCCCAAAAATTAGTGGTAGTGTGCTTTTCATATATTTTTGAGGGTTGCTACAATCCAGAATGCCAAGAAACACAAAAAGTCATTTCACCAAAATGATGAAAAATGATGATTTTCCCAGCGAAGCTCCACTTAGTTCGGTGATTTTTCAGCCATGCTTGATTACTGGAGGGTAACAAGTTTATACAAGTTTGCTTGTGAAGAAGTTTGCTTACCATCTCAATCTCCACAATCTCCCCTAGTGACTGTTTCAATTACTCAAAGATCCTGTGTAACCTAAAAAGTGAAACCCATCATGTTGGATTGCTTCGGAGTCCCAAATATGGACTGGGGCATCAAGAGGCCCCAATCTATCCTCCATTGCAAAAACATAGATGTCCTATTCCCACTGGTTGACTGACTACCAGTGGCTTCCTCCCGTTCAACAACAAAGAAGTATATACACTAGATGATACATGATAATAATTAGATATAAATAGTATACCACACCAGTTTTGTAACATATGTTTCCTAAAAGAACAAGGGAAAATCACTACTTTTAATAGGCAAACCATCTAATATAAGTGGGCCATTTTCCATAGCTACAGTTAAAGCCCATTACCAGTTATGTTTATGGTTATAAATGGTTCTACGTTATAAATGGGATTATCATTTCATTCTTATGGGGTTATTTCACTGACTAACTGTTTTTTCGCCATCTCTGATAAGTTTTAAAAAACAATACCATATGGACCATATGTTCATGTATTTCCCAGGATATGTCTATGATGTTCCCAGCTAGAAACCTCTGTTTATAGAGCCGCAGGCCAGTACTGGCGGCTATGCCCGTTCGGAGTCAGAGTTCCAGTTGGCATGTGGCCACATTTGCTCGCAGTTTGTACCTAGACAACTAGTTCTCATAGCTGTCACAGCTATTCCCCTATGTTCACTCTCCAGATTCACGAACGCGTGACATGTCGCGGCCGAACGCCCGCAGGTCATGCAGCTCTGCCAAGAGGTGTGCTTCAATGTAGGCACGTTCATGCGCCTGGGAGCTGGGCGGTGGAAGTTGCTGGGGAAATCATCTGGATTTTCTAGCCATGGCAAACTGGTTGATGGTTTGGAACCATGGTTTTTTTTGACTTTCCATATGTGCAATGGCCATTTCAGGTACCTAAATTTGGAAGTACCTACCATATATAAGGCCTATGTAAGGGAATATCCCCACAAAATATGGCCTTATATGGTACGGTACCTCCATTCTAGGATCCTGGAATTCCGATTGATATATTGGAAATTTCATCATCCCAACTGACGCACTCATATTTTTCAGAGGGGTTGAAACCACCAACCAGCAAAATACCGGATGGTAAGTCGAATTTGGGGACCTCAAGACACACCTAAGTTGTTTGAACTATGTTGAACTAAGCAAGTTTACAACATGCTTTGTGGTAGACGTATATCTAACACTATAGTTGGGTGTATAATCCAATAAATATATTTTGGAGTAAGGTGGGCCCACATTGTAGCGATGAATTTGAAGCTGGTTGTGGAAGTGGCCATCCCTCTTCGAACTTGGAAGCCACTGCCGATTTGATTTTATGATATACCGATGATGATGTTCTATAACAAATTGTGAAAATACCTTTGGGCCTAAGGGTATTGAAGTAGCGCATCCAGTTGAGATGTGTTTTTTCTCATTGTTTTTTACAGTGAAACGGTGAAAAAACGCGTTTTTGGCATCTATTTCTTGAGCCTCTGCGGGGTATGCGGCATCCACCGCCAGGTAGCGATTACCTCATCGCTAGACACTGAGGCCGAAGCTGCCCTCCAGTAAACGAAGAGTTTATGTCGTACCCTTTGACTGCAGACTTTCATGGAATTTATAGGGTTTTTTAGGGATTACATGCTGATTATACCGGATTTTGTGGGATATACCCTCTGGTTCTGCCTAACAATTTGCGAGCTGGAAAACATGGCCCATGGCTACTTCCATGGCTTGCCTATCAATTTGATGGTGGTTTTCCATAGTAACCTGTTGGTTTACTACGAGAAAATTGTTCCGAAAACTCACATGAATGAATCATGTTTGAAATGGATCAATCATGATCAATGACATAAATACATATAAATTTTGCTTTTAGGATTATTCGCATTCATAGATCCCAGCTAGTTTGTTGTGAAGTACAGGGACGCCGGGTTGCACTGACCCACCATTTGGCTCTTGGCCTCTACCACTTGGTTTGAACCAATTTGTATGGGCCACACCGCAGGCCACCATGGTATCATGATGTCAAAATATTACGTCAAGAGCATCAAAAACTTGAGACACGAGCTGAAGTTGTTTGTTTCGCACAGAAAAGCGTGTAGGCATTCAGTTTCCTTAGCGCAGCACTCCCTAAACAGAAATGTCAGTAGGAAACTGAACATTGATGACTCCTGACTCGGACACTCTTCGACGACATTGGATTTAGGTTCCCGACGATTTTGGATTGCCCACTTTTGTTGAGTACACGGACGCAGTTTATTTGTGAACAATTACGATAACATCAACAAATTGTCTGGTAACATATGACGGTGCTGCAATGTTTATTGCGTACTGGTGATTGTGAATTGAAATCACTTCCCCATTTCATGTCGAATATCTGAAACCAAGGTTCGGTATTGAATCTACGGATTCACATTGGGGCTCCGTATGGGTGGGTATTCTATCATTATTTATGGATACTATAAATTGGCGCTAGTTAAATATTCCCATTTCATGACCGTGACACGGGTTAACCACGGTTCACCATGGTTCACCAGCTGGCATGTGGTAAATCCCATGATGACCAGCGTTTTTTTTTTTCGAATTCTCCATGGTAAATCCCCCATTTGATCCTATAGGGATCCCCATCTTTGCTGGCGATGCTTAGGTCACTGGAAGTGAAGCAGCCCCAGAGGAGTGGTGGCCGACAGCGCAGGAAGAGGCTCCGTGGATGGGATCAAATGGGTGTAAGCATGGTTATAAAGCGCCAAAGTTGGGATATAAGCCCTACATATATATTACAGAGATAGATAGATTAGATAGATTAGATAGATTAGATAGATTAAATAGATTAGATAGATTAGATAGATTAGATAGATTAGATAGATTAGATAGGTTAGATAGATTAGATAGATTAGATAGATTAGATAGATTAAATAGATTAGATATATTAGATAGATTAGATAGATTAGATAGGTTAGATAGATTAGATAGATTAGATAGATTAGATAGATTAGATAGATTAGATAGATTAAATAGATTAGATAGATTAGATAGATTAGATGGTTTAGATAGATTAGATATATTAGATAGATTAGATGGTTTAGATAGATTAGATATATTAGATAGATTAGATAGATTAGATTAGATTAGATTAGATAGAGTAGATTAGATAGATAGATAGAGAGATAGAGAGATAGATAGATAGATAGATAGATAGAAAGATAGAAAGAAAGAAAGATAGATAGATAGATAGATAGATGTATTATATATTTAGTATTATATATATATACAGTATTATATAGTTCTATATCCACTCATAGCATCTTATAACTAGAACTTCCAAGGTAGGAACCATATGTGCCATGGTCATCAACCCATAAAGAGATAGGTCATCCCCTCACGGTGTGATAGGTCCCATCTATTGGGATAACCACACTGAAGGGAAGTTGCTAACCGGATAATGGTGATTAATGGTGATTAATTAATGGTTATTAATGGTGATTAATGTTGATTAATGGTGATTAATGGTGATTTACCCTCAGGTAATTTAACATATTTCTATCTTCAACTTCGTCTCCGCCGAGGCTATCATTGGTAGTTTCTGCATGCTTTTTAACGTCGTCGAGGTGTTTTTCGGTGGCGCATTTTGGTCGGCAGGACCTTTGGCAAATTGCCGCGCTGCGGCGGATTTCAGTGCTTGGGGTGGGGCAATCGCTGGCCTTCTGGCACTTGTGATGACCATCACAGCGTTGCTGAGCTCTGCAGTGGCCCTCGACGAGTTTTTTCATCAGCTTGGGCCCAGCATTGGGCAATTTTTTTGGAGAGTGGGGGCAAGCAGGAAGGCCTTTGGACGAAGTGGTGCTTGAATCTATGGATGTAATATGGATAGAGCACCTTCAGAGCACTTGAGTGCATGTTGCTCTGGCAGTGCCCTAGCGGTTGTTTTGAATTCAAGTAAACGCCTTGGGAAATAACCCAAAGATCCCTTGTCATATGTCATATGTGGTTTTATCCCCTACTTGGAGGATCATCCCGCAGATCGGATTCGTGGCATATCTTACCCTCGTGATCGGATTCGTCCCCGTTTCGTCGCTTATCCCGTTTATAAATTGTTTGGGAGGGGTAGGTCAACCACCAACCAGATTATTATTAACCATCATTAACCATATAATAACCATATATTAACAGTATATTAACCATAGTTATAACAGTTTCAAATTGGTTATAACCGCAGTTTCTGACCAGTCATGATTCGCGAGGTGATCCTCCACATACAAAACGCTGTTGTTTTTAGGCGCGTCTACTTTTAGGGAGAAGGGATTGTTTGAAAACTTTGAGCGGGGGATGTAGCCACGTAGCCCCCCCAAAAAATGTGGATAATCAGCATGTATGATAAGAAAACCTGTGGTTTCACAGACACACATATATATATATATATATACATATAATTATATACATATATATATATAGAAATTAGAGAGATATGTATATACATATACATATCCCTGGAAAACACAGTTTGTTTGATGTTTTAGAGCCCAATCTGTTGTTGGTTCAATCCTCATTTTCTCAGGCAGATCTCTCCGCTGCAGAGCGTGTTGGACAGCTCCGAGGCGATGTGCGGCTTGAGGGTAATAGCAGCTGATGTCAACATGAACATAATAAAACCATTACCCTCTGGTAAACTAACATAGCTATTGAAAATGGCCATTTATAGTGGATTTTCCCATTAAAAATGGTGATTTTCCATAGCTATGTTAAATTACCAGAGGGTATAAAAATGGAAAATGATTTAACCCATAAAAAAAGAAGGACACATTTCACCATTAAAAGGGAATCGAGTTTGTATCTTTGTTTGAAAATCAGGGTTAATCCCGATCCCAATTTGTGCACATTTCAGCAAAAATATAGGAAGATAAACCATCGTTTTTTCTGGGTGGATTATGATGAACTCGTTGTGACTTGGCCCATACTTTGCCTGCTGACTCAAGAGATGTTTCATCATGTCGATGGGAACTCCAGGATGATGTGGAGCTACTAGGTACCATTTTTCAGGCCATTTTTGTTGGGGCATATCCCCTTGCATAGCCCTCAAACATAGGCCATTGATAAGGAGGACATGTACCGATGAATCCATGAATCCACTTACCTGACTGCAACTGGGCTCATACTCGGGGGTAAAAATCCCAGGCACTGCAAGTGGGGGATAACCTTACGATGTCTATATATATATATGATTATACATATATATATAGGATTATATTTAATAAATCATTATATGTCATAAATAATTATATATATATATATAACTCATATATTATATACATACATATACAACTACTATTATATATATATATATTCTATTGTATGCACCCAATGGATCCAAAGCACTTTCTGAGAAAGTACCTAACCCCTGACTCATCCAAACATCCCAGGCCCTAGCGCTCCGCAGCGTCCCAAGACTTCAGTCCTCAGGACATGTGCACGATGATTTACCGTAAGCGGAAACGGTGATTTCACAGGTGAAAATGATGATTTGCCCGGCAAACACATGTGATTTAAGTCACTCAAAGATAGAGGATCAATATTCCATGTTTACTGTTTACCTTAAGACTCCAAGACTGATGTCTATTGAGGATGTTTCTGGAACAAACATGATAACAACAAATGGGTTTCTCTGCCTCATGGATGATGTTCCTGTCACGGCCCTGTGCACAGTGCATCAGTGCCGAAAGCAAAGGGAAAAGGTCCCAAAAAGTGAAAGGTCGAAACCACACCATCTTCCCCAAAGCTGCTTATAAACCCTATTGTAGACTGTTTGATATTTGTAGTAAGTCACATTGATTGTTGACTTTCGTAAGCATGTCACATGAGGATCAACCATTGACCATCCCAGGTATTCGCCGCGTTCCCTTGGGGTTGTTGTGCTCCGTTTTTTTTTGTTTAAAAGGTTAGATACAGTATATACTACTCCATTTTATTCCCATATATTCCCCATTATACTCCCCATATATCTCCGTTTCAATGCACAACACAAGAAAAAAACATGATCATCGCATGACGCGAATACGTCAGGATTGACCCCTATGCCGCACCGAACGAACTGGCGCCGGTGTGGTCTCCTGGGGACATCTGATTTTCGTGTTTTTGGTACCATTAAACAAAGACATTTTCACAAATGAACAATGGAAATATATGTTTGTAATGGTTTGTATGTTTGAAATCATTGATCCTGGTGAGTTGTCACCGCATTATCAATTCTTATTGGGCCCCATTTGCCGAAGGTTATGTTTTAGTGTGGCAATTCCAAGAATAGTGTGGCAAAATCATACCATGTGTGCTCAAATTTTCGTAGATCTACATAGGAATGCTCCGTAAATCCACCTAGGGTTTCATGCTTTGTTGGAACATGTTGGAATGTAGATGGTTGCTAGACGAAAGGCTTCACGTTTCTTATACGAAGATTGCGAAAAACTGGTTGGTGGTGTCAATCATGTTTTGCTTTTAATCCTGAGACGAAAAAAGCTCAACTGTCAAACAAAATCGCAAAGATGACATGAGTATGGGTCAAGACGGATTGTGCATGTTGATGTTTCTCCCCAAACGTGGTAGATAACAAATTATATACCCCGATATATATATATATATTGATATATATATAATATTGACATATATACATATTATATATAATATTGATATATCTTGGGTGGAAAAAAACCAAAGACAGTTTACAAATTAATATTTGGAGAGGTTAAATATATATATATGGCCCACTCTCTGCGCCTGCGCCGGGCTCAGAGCTGTTGGGGGGCCACGGTCGCCAAGCCAAGCCAAGCCGTCGCAGCCGGGGATCTACGAGGTGTCGATTCTGGGATCTACGAGTCCTCGGGGTTGGTGGTCCCCTGGTTGATGATAGGTGGTTGTACGACCCGATATTCCATATGCTCCATGTATGTAATATTTACCTACATTTGGGCCATTTTTGGGGTAAATGCCATACATGGAGCATATGGGTATGATTGGAACACTTGATTGAACAAACAGAGTGAGGATTGACAAGGGATGAAAGAGGCTTTTGAACACTGAACAGACTGAACATGTGTGGTGTCCATCCTGAAAAAATGTCGAGTGTATTGAGATGTATTGTGTATCGTAATTTGGTGTGATCTATTAACGGATGTACATTCAACACATGACTATTCTAAATCCTATATGCTCCATGTATGGAATATTTACCCAGTTTTGTAGGTAAATGTACCAGCACCACGGAGCATTAATGAGAATTACCGTGATGTATCCTCACGGATGTTTTAATGTTGTGGAGATGGGCTTGTGTTTGGAAGCTTTCGAGACAACATGTTTGGACGAATCTGGACATGTCAACAGCTGTTCCAGCTGCATTTCGAGGACGTGTTGAGTCTTATAAAGGGTTGCTCTTCTCTCTTTGATCAATGTCACAAGGTTTGGATTGAGGTGTTTCGCTTCTCGAAATGCCCAGCAAATAATTTTAGTTCATCCATAGGGTTGTGGCAATCCATCGGTGTTTTGTGTTAACATTTATATCTCCAAGCGCGCACAACGATCCAGCTGGTTTATCATGGTTTATCAATTGACATCAATTGACTGCAATGTTGGATGTGTGCATCTATCTATCTATCTAATCTAATCTAATCTAATCTAATCTAATCTAATCTAATCTAATCTATCCATCCATCTATCCATCTATCCATCTATCCATCTATCTATCTATCTATCTATCTATATGTATGTGTATATATATATATGTTATATATATATAATGTTTGCGTCTGATTAGTGTGAGGGCCCCCCCCCCAAACAATTTGAGGATACTCTATAACTCGCACTTTTTTTTGCCCCCCCTCAACATTTTTTTGGTCAATCAACTTAAGAAAGGATTTCAATTTATTTTTAATTTACTTTCAATTGATTTCAATTTACTTTCAATTGATTTCAATTTACTTTTAATTTACTTTCAAATTATTTTCAATTTACTTTCAATTTACTTTCAATTTACTTTTAATTTACTTTCAATTGATTTCAATTTACTTTCAATTTACTTTCAAGTTACTTTTAATTTACTTTCAATTGATTTCAATTTACTTTCAATTGATTTCAATTTACTTTTAATTTACTTTCAATTTACTTTCAATTGATTTCAATTTACTTTTAATTTACTTTTAATTTACTTTCAATTTACTTTCATTTTACTTTTAATTTACTTTCAATTGATTTCAATTTACTTTCAATTGATTTCAATTTACTTTTAATTTACTTTCAATTGATTTCAATTTACTATCAATTGATTTCAATTTACTTTTAATTTACTTTCAAATTACTTTCAATTTACTTTCAATTTACTTTCAATTTACTTTTAATTTACTTTCAATTGATTTCAAATTACTTTCAATTGATTTCAAATTACTTTTAATTTACTTTCAATTGATTTCAATTTACTTTCAATTGATTTCAATTTACTTTTAATTTACTTTCAATTTACTTTCAATTGATTTCAATTTACTTTTAATTTTTTTTATTTTATTTTTTTCACTCCCAAAAGTTGGTGCTCACAATAGAGTACCATCCAAACAATTATATTATTGAGTAACTGAGCCACTCATGAGGTACCCCCTTGAAAAATTGTCTGAGTGCTGTTTTTAAATAAGGGTTTAATAAGGCATCTAATTATTTGGAAAACCTTGCATTTTAAAAGCTTTAACACAAATATCTATTTCTAAAACAAATGGACCAGCTTTACTCAAGGAAAGGTGGAGAAAGGGTTTTTGTTTTTTTTTTCAACCCCAAAAGTTGTTGGGCACAATAGAGTACCATCCAAACATTCATATTATTGAGTAACTCAGCCACTCATGGGGTACCACCTTGAAAAATTGTCTGGATGCTGTTTTTTAATAAGGGTTTAATAAGGCATCTAATTATTTGGGAAAACCTTGCATTTTAAAGTTTTATCACAACTATGTCTTTCTAAAGTGAAAGGACCAGCTTTACCCAAAGAAAGGTGGAGAAAGGGTTTTGTTTTTTTTTCACTCCAAAAAGTTGGTGCTCACAATAGAGTACCATCCAAACAATTATATTATTGAGTAACTGAGCCAATCATGAGGTATCCCCTTGAAAAATTGTCTGGGTGCTGTTTTTTAATAAGGGTTTAATAAGGCATCTAATTATTTGGAAAACCTTGCATTTTAAAGCTTTAGCATAAATATGGCTTTCTAAAGTAAAGGCACCAGCTTTACCCAAAGAAAGGTGGAGAAAGGTTTTTTTTTTTCACTCCCAAAAGTTGGTGCTCACAATAGAGTACCATCCAAACAATTATATTATTGAGTAACTGAGCCACTCATGAGGTACCCCCTTGAAAAATTGTCTGAGTGCTGTTTTTTAATAAGGGTTTAATAATAAGGCATCTAATTATTTGGAAAACCTTGCTGTTTAAAGCTTTAACATAAATATGGCTTTCTAAAGTAAAGGCACCAGATTTACTCAAAGAAAGGTGGAGAAAGGTTTTTTTTTTTCACTCCCAATAGTTGGTGCTCACAATAGAGTACCATCCAAACAATTATATTATTGAGTAACTGAGCCACTCATGAGGTACCCCCTTGAAAAATTGTCTGAGTGCTGTTTTTTAATAAGGGTTTAATAAGGTATCTAATTATTTGGAAAACCTTGCATTTTAAAGCTTTAACATAAATATGGCTTTCTAAAGTAAAAGGACCAGCTTTACCCAAAGAAAGGTGGAGAAAGGGTTTTGTTTTTTTTTCACTCCCAATAATTGGTGCTCACAATAGAGTACCATCCAAACAATTATATTATTGAGTAACTGAGCCACTCATGAGGTACCCCCTTGAAAAATTGTCTGAGTGCTGTTTTTTAATAAGGGTTTAATAAGGCATCTAATTATTTGGAAAAAATCTGGAAAAAATCTAAAATTAATTTTTTTTAATAAAATAAAAATTAAAAAAAATGAAATAATCTGGAAAAAATCTAAAATTGAACAAATAAAAATGTTTTAAAAAAATAAAAAAATAATTGAAAAAATAAAAAAAAATGAAAAATCTGAAAAAAATCTCACAATAGAGTTCCCCCCCAACAATTAGCATGTGACTGAATTAGGAGCAAGAAATTTCTCACAATAGGGTACCATCTCTTTAATCATTCCCAAACATTATATATATATATATTTATATACGTATCTATATCTATACCAATGCCTACATTTGCCTATACCTATATATGTGTATCAATGTCTACATCATATATCTGCAGTTCTGCTGATATACAATGCAATGCTACACACTGCAGGCAATATATTACCCTATTACCATCTGGTAATCTAACAGTTTGCTATGGAAGATCACCATCTTTAATAGGTAAATCAACTAATTATAAATGGGCCATTTCCAATAGCACTGTTAAATTACCAGAGGGACTGGATGGTTACGAAATATAGCTGTTTTCTAGGGAGGTGTTCCTCATGAGACATTACCAGAGGGTACCTTCATGATTTATACCCCCTGGTAATTTAACATAGACCCTGAAAATGACATTTATAGTGGTTTCACTAGTCTTCCAACCCCGATGACTGGCAGGGTCAAACTGTTAATTTACTGGAGGGTACCCTCTGGTAAATTAACATAGACCCTGGCAGATAGGGGTTGGAAGACTAGTTTCCATTAACAATTGGCTATTTTCAGGGTCTATGTTTATTTACCAGAGGGTACATCATGAACCATGCCAACATAGATGACCACCGGAGGCCATGCGGCGTTCACTGGGACCCCTCCTTTGTGTGCTGGCGCTGCTTCCCATGGCTGCATGGCATGCTGGCGCCTTCGTGTCTTCGCCTCAGCCAGGCAGGGTCGGTTCGCCAGGTGGTTTAAGCATCAACAATTGTGAGAAATACGCTGGTTGGTGGTTTGGAACATGGCTTTTATTTTGCCATATATTGCGAATAATCATCCAAAGTGACTTTCATATTTTTCAGACGGGTTGAAACCACCAACCAGGTTTGATATGATTCAATCATCAAACCATAGGTTTGGCCAGACACGGTGTACAGTACACCACGAAATGTCATGACATAGCCATTTTGTCGGCAAACATGATGATGAATTGAAATTCTTATTTCACTATTTTAGACAGACCCGAATCGTAGAACATGAATGACCGAGATAAATGCATGAACATACATGCACCTTTGGAAAATAACACTCAGATCTCCTATAAAGGTACACAGAAACTTTCATAGATTCCCCTTCTTAGTTTATAAACAAGTGCTAAACACAGGTGTATCACAGCCTTGGAATTGGTTATGCATGGTTATGCACTGTACCTCCAAAAGTCCCTTGGCGGTTTGTGGTTTCCATCCCTGCCTTTGGATAAACCTTGGGTCACTGCGGTAGGATGAGGCTGAAGCAAGTGGGATATCACTGTCATCACCGTCCCAGTGGATTCTAGGGATAAACGGATACCCGGCCTGGTAAACATACAAAAAGCTATTGAAAATGGTCATTTACAGTGAGTTTTCCTATTAAGAATGGTGATTTTCCACAGCTATGTTAGTTTACCAGAGGATATCCATTCTGGATTCTCGATTGCACTTGCTTATTCACCCCAATTAGTACAGATTTTTGTGATTTCCCAGCAGTTCTAAATAGGAGAAGTCGGCTTAGTGTAGATACAACTGGGGTTGTAAACAACCTGGGGTTTTGACCGATTTTGACCATCTCTTCCCCAGGAGTCACACCTCAGTCCTCAAGAACGGTGCAAATGGCGCGGCCGGGAGGGCCCGGCGTGCCCCCAGAGGAGTCAGGGCTCGTGGAGAAAACTTCCCGAGAGAATGGTGAGGTTTCCCAACCAGATTGGGCAAAACTGGAGTAGATGGATGTCATATATGATGTACCCGGCCTGGTAAACATACAAAAAGCTATTGAAAATGACCATTTATAGTCAGTTTTTCCATTAAAACTTGTGATTAGTTTACCAGAGGGTAATCAAACGTCCTAAATGACAGAGAAACATGGGAACATTTGCTGGGGATCTTTTGGACACAAAAACATGGGCATATCATCAAGACAAGATAGGGTCTGATGGAAAACGCAGTCGTCAATAGGCACTTTTCATTTTCAGCACGTTTTCAACACAGCAATATCAGGCAAAGAGCAACAGCAGTACAGGGTGGAAAGGGCACAACGTGTATTGTAGGACTCTTGGAAAACAGTACATGGTACGATGGAGGGATGAGTTGCCCAAGAATTGGAAACCCTGGGGTAACTTGGGGTCTTCCAACTAGCACCGGCTGTTGGTTGGTGGACTTCTTGATCATCAGCATATGTTTTTGGAGATTCCTTAATCAAATTGCAAGTGAATGGTGGGATTGTTGATGATCTTAGTGTTTGGTGCGTGTTTTTTTTCAGACCAGTTGAGTGGGTTTTGAATCCTATTAATCCTAACTTTGAAAGCTAGTGAGCTAAGGTGGTTTATATTTATACATGACTCCAGTTTAACTGTTGGGTCTGTGGTAGATATGTCTATATGAATGGGGGCTATAGACAATTAATTATTAAACCAACCTATGATGGTGGGATGGGGATGGGGATGGGAAAGATGATTCAAGGTGATGTTTTTCTTTGCAACAATGCTGTTTTTTAATCAACAACCATATCCATCAAACAATCACACCAATTGCACCAGCAAGTGGATGCCATGCAGGCGCAGCCTGTCTGCCTTGGCTGCGCTTTATCCCAGGAGATAGAGATGGAGGTGGAGGGACTGGATGGTGCCACTGCTTCCCTTGGCTTTTTCCTGGTCGTGGGCATTCTGATCTTCGGATGTCTTCAGGACGGCGGGTGGATGTTACACCTTTGAGATGATTGGTTTTGCATCGTTGATATGCGTGAAGAATGCATCCGAGGCGGAAAAAATAAAGGATCAGACATACATGGGGTTTCTACTAGATATAATCTAGATATATAATATATGGTATAATTGTATATATATATACACATCACTTAATAGCACTTACACATCTGGATCACTTTGGGGACTTTGTGGACGAAGTGCATTTGGGCACCAGAGAATCATAGGCGGCATATCCCAAGACATCCCAGATGCGTCTTGTCATAGGGATAACATGAAATATGTCACTTCTTGGACAAAATTGAAACAGTTTCTGAACCATCACCCGAGTGGACAAGACCCGGCCAGGCAGAAGTGAACCAGGGCGTTATTGGAAATCCAACCGCTGCATACTGAAGGGTCGGTCTGAGGGCGAAAGCGTGCTTCATCGCGGTCAAGAAGCTTAGCCGGCTTAGCCAGAGAAACAAAACATGCATTTGCGCCAAACATGCGCAGTGACGATGCAAAAAATGCACTTCATCTTCTTTGCAGATTGCTTCGAGAGATTTTCGCAGTACTTTGCTGTCCAAAAGGCGGCGCGTTTGCTGCGCGGAGCGTTCCATGTGTTTTTTTTGGGGGGGCTCTGAAGCTGAGATACTGGGCAAGCAATGTTTAATGATCTGCCTTGCCTCTCCTTGCATTTTGAACTGGTTTCAAGACAAATCTGCCAAGAAAGCCACGGAGAACCATCTGTTCGAATGGTAAAACAAACCAACAAAAGCAATTTCAAGCACCCGAAATGGTCAAACGTGGCTGGATGGGAAATCCCCGAACTAGCCATGGAGGCTTCATTCTCTGCAAAAATCATCGATTTTTTTCGGGATTTTCCAGCAAACCATGTTTGATAACAGAAGGGAACTTGACCATCATTTTTTCCGGGTCAACTTGGAAGTGCTGTTCCAGTAAAAAAAAGTGGAGATGCTTCACATTTTTTCATCATATATACTTGTTGGTGGATTGGAACATTTATTATTTTCCATAATATGTGGGATAATCCTTCCCATTGACTTTCATATTTTTCAAGATGGTTAAAACATGTTAAAACCACCAACCAGTATAGTAGGCCCATATCCCCACAAAGCTGGAAGATTAGTTCACCATGGTACCCTCGAGAAGAAAAAAAGTTCCGACCAAGGCACTGTTGGCTGGTTTGCGAGCTGCAGGATGCGGCACCTCAATTACCTTGCTGGTGGGGGGCGGAGAAGGTTTTTGTTGGGCGAAGAAACGATTACCCTCTGGTAAACTAACATATAGCTATTGAACATGGCCATTTATAGTGGATTTACCCATGAAACATGGTGATTTTCCATAGTTACGTTAGTTTACCGGAGGGTACATGTCAAAACATCGGAAATATTGACATGTTCAACTGTTTTTTGATTTAGTTATTGGCTTGATTTATTTACTGTTTGATTGTCTGAGAAAACCGTGGCTATTTCAATCACCAAGCGTGGCTATGAAGGGGTATTTTGACCAACAAAGAGGATGATCGGGATGTTTACCAGACAAAATGGAATGAATATGCAGTGGATCTGAAGGGGAATAACCAGCAACAATGGAGAATGGATACTTGGCCTTGACATAATTGTTTGGATACGCATATGTTCATTATCAACCTTGAGAAATAGAAGTTTATAAAATCCAATCCTCATTTGTTCCTACAAGTTGATCCTTTCTGCATCTTTTTCATTAACTCAATGTTCACGACATATGTTCACATAATTTCACATATATGTTTATGTATTTTCCAATGTATTTTCCAACGTATTTTCCACATGTTTCATCATTTTCCCACGTTTTTCCAGCGTTCTCTGGCCGTCTCTTTGGGCATCATGGATCCGGACACAGGTGGTGTGTCGCGCGTACCAGAGCCGTCGACCTGTCTCGGTGCTGAACTGGTCTCGGTGCTCAGATGGCGAGGGACGGTGGGACGGTGGGACACCGGGGACCACCGGTGTCCCCAAGATCCGGTGGAAAAACTTTGGAAAAACGTTGGAAACACCCCTGAATTCCCATGGGCTGGAGAAGATTACGATCATTTGATATGGAAATTTAAGTGTGCTTGATGGGACAATCCAATGGATGAACATCAGCAGTATGTTTTTAGGTTAGAGTTGAATGAGCTGGACATAATTCCTGCGGTTTAAAGATTTTAAATCCTATTCTTTAAACATTGCCATCAATGGGGCTATGCCGCTATACAATCTGTTGCTGGTACACCAAGGGCCCAGGTACCCCAGGTACTGGGTGTCACCAGGATGGATGTCTAGATGAAGGCATCATGTCATTAGATGTATATGGTGTATAATGGTGTATACATCTTTCTTTTTCTTTATGTGTGTTTCTGTTCAGGTTTGGGGTAAATGTTGGAAACAATTCCAGGCATTCAGCATTTGGGCCATGATCCAGTCCGCCGACATCTCACCGACTGTCTCGCCGAGCTGACACCGCTGTAGGTGTCTTCAGCAAGAGGACAGGGACAAGACCTTCTCGTGGTTGTCTACAAATTTCTACTTTATCGTAATTTAACATAGGTAATTATGGAAAATTGTCAGTTTGGAGTATTTACTGATATTTACCTATTAAACATGGTGGCTTTTCGATAGATTTGTTAAATTGCCGGAAGCAATCTTCAGGTCAGGTCCAGGTGATATGCTTTTCTCTTTCTAATAGATTTTTATAGTTTGTTTCATTCATTTCCCAGCGATGAGCAAAGGCTCCAGCAGCAGATGTTGTGCTACCACTGCTGATCACAGAGAATTGACGAGCCCCTCAGATATTTTTGTTGGTATCTATGTATCTAACAGTTACTGATGCTCAGATAAAATTGGTTTAACATCTTAGGTCCACCCGAAACCAATCAAACTGTCGCATATAACATGATCATTTCATCCATTGCCATTTGATTGACATCCAGTCACCCAAAGGATAGGCACATCCATATGATCACCATATTTTAGGAGGCTTTTACATGCTTTTACATGCTTTTACTTTTTCGAGGGGTTTGGGGATGGGGATGGACATCGCTCAGCTTCACGGTGTTTCGTTACGTTTCGCTCGAAGGACTATGCTCAGTGGCGCATGACGGTGTTGCCCTACTCGTGGGACCCTCGCTTCGTTTACCTGGAGGACGATCGACTGGGGATCGAATACAAAGTGGAACATGATGGGATGGTGGTGACTGGAACCATGGATTTTTATGACTTTCCATTCAGTTGGGAATTTCATCATCCCAACTGACTGTATATAACTTCATCATTTTTTAGAGGGGTAGGTATACCACCAACCAGGATATGATGGGATATGAGCTCAAGCAATGAAGCATTCAGTGATATATTTGTCACAGCCTTATGAACAATGCTCTTGAGTTACTTCATATCTTAGAGTACAAAACATCAGATTGTACATGTTTGATACTGCTTGAGCCCACCTTGAGCTACATCAATATGCATCAATATTTGTTCTTGTTATGGGTTCAACACCGGCCCACCCAGTTATAAGTTGATCGTGGTTTCCTGGCTGATGACAATGATATCATGGCTGATGGTAACCATGGAAAATACGTGGGTTAAGGTAAGCAAAGGTTGTCCCGGTGAATGACCTGAAAACCATGAAATTCATGATAAACTGGAAGTCTAACCATACAAAATGGTTGGTGGTTTGGAACATGAATTACAATTTTTCCATATATTGGGAATTTCATCATCCCAACTGACTGTAACTCCATCATTTTTCAGAGGGGTAGGTCAACCACCAACCATCATTATGCATTTAATCTTCCAGGGATTCAATCATAAAACATTGTGCTTTGGAGGTTTCATAGGTTACGGGGGGGGGGCAAGCTATCACCCAAGTTGATGTGGTCGCGTTTTAGTCAATGTTGCCCAAACAGTGGGATGAAGAGTGTCAAAAAGAGACGGGTTGGCAAGACGAAATTGAGCTGAGCTGATTCAAACAGGTGTTTCAAACAAAATGCCGAAGATGAGTAGATGGCAGACCAATGAGATTCCGACTTTACTCAACATTGCTTCAGAAACTGGATGTGTCAATATAGAAAGATACAAAGAGCAATGCCAAATTTGCATGTTCCTTGGGTCCCCAGTTGTCGCTGAGAAAAAAGCCCTTCAGGGCACGACAGAGCCAGGATTGCAAAGCCCGTGGGAACGAGGTGATCTTGGAGGCCACATAATGGTCCCATGGATGGTCCCCTGCATTGAAGACCCAGGAAGACGCAGATGGGTACAGAAACTATGTGTTGTAAGGTCTTGGAAATTTGCCGTCCAAAACTGTGGTGCCTAAAGGCCTAAGGTGATTTTTCAGATTTCAAAAGACTTAGACAAGTGATGAGAACTGCCAGAAGGGAGTGAGAAGGGAGCACCCTGGAACCACAACATGGAGCCTGTCAAACTGATCCCTAAAGACTGGATGGGTTTTAACCACACGAATCTTCCGGATAACTATTGGAAGTACCCTCTGGTAATTTAACATAGCTATTGAACATGGCCATTTATAGTGAGTTTTCCCATTAAAAATGGTGATTTTCCATAGTTATGTAAATGTTTACCAGAGGGTATCTATCCCATGGGGATATACAGCCAACATCTTCCAGATAGGTACTAACTATGCTGTACTAACTATACTATATGTTACATTGTTTCGGGCTTACATGAATGTATCATAATGTATTCCATGGGAAAATCCAACTTCGAGCAAGGCATCTTGAGAAAACACCAAGAGCCATTGCTGGTTCCGCCATTCATCTCAGACTTGGTTGAAGAATCCTGCAAACAAATTAGGGTTTGACAAGGTCTAACATAGATGTTACATAGATGTTCTAATGATTTTCCATAGATGTTCCATAGATGGAACCCACATTTCCCATGGTTAGTGGTAAAAAACACCGTGTTTTCAACAGTTTCAAGCCATAGATTTTCCCCAACACAACTGGGCCCTGGGGCCCCATGTAGGCGCAACTACTGACGGAGATGAACCCCATGGCGCGGGGCTTCAGCAGAGATTCCCGCAGGGGATATGACCAACAGATGAGGATCTTATCGGGGTATGGGATAATATCATATAATATCTGGTTGGTGGTTTGGAACATTTTTTATTTTTCCATTCAGTTGGGAATTTCATCATCCCAACTGACGAACTCATATTTTTCAGAGGGGTAGGTTGAAACCACCAACCACTTGGGATATGATGGGGATCCAACAAGAATGGGGATACCGGTGATTTGTCTTCTAGGACATCACCTACAACTATGTTGGATTACCAGAGGGGGTGGACTGGCCGATCGGACAATCATCTATAAATGATAAATGAAGGCTTTTTCCGTTGCCACGTTTGATGACCAGAGCGTACTGATGCGTACTGTGTCCATGGATTTAAATCATGAATGTTTCAAGCCTTGCTAGTTTTTCAATAGGTTCCACCCAAAGAAACGCCATGTTCATCCATCCGCCCCCATGTCACTATGGGTCTGTCTTTTCGGATAGTCCAAAATTCCAATGGTCGACCAAAAAAATGTGCGTGCCATCTCTTGGTTGAAAGCCACAGCATAGCTATAGAAAATGGCCCATTTAGTTCGTTGATGTACCGTGCTTAAAGATTGTGGATAGTTTCCATAACTTTCATTGATTTTCCAGTTCGCTATGTTAGTTAATTTTTACCTATTATCCGATGGTGATGTTCAAGTTCGCTATCTTCAAAATAACCAGTTCAATAACCAGCTAGTTAGCCATTTTTTGGTGAGTTTTTGGTTCGTTGTTCAAGCCATGTGATCCATGTGTTGCTTCCAATGTGCTGATCCTCGGGTCATTTGAGGTCTGGATGGAGGAAGAGGGACAGGAGGCGGAGATCGCGCTGAGTCGCCTACTGCTGGTTGGGCCCCCAACGGTGATCCCACAGAGTCGCCATGGCTTGTTGGCCATATGATATTTGGCCATGGCCATGCAACAGGAACCGATTGATTGGAGGTACCGGACCTAGCAGAATGGCAATAGAATGGCAATTCATAATGGATTCCATAGTTCAAGCTATTTGGGATTAATGGGGATTAATGCTGGTTAATGGGGATTAGTTAGTGGTATCATGGGAATATTATTGCTGGTTGGTGGTTTGGAAACATGAAATTTTATGGCAATCCATTCAGTTGGGAATTTCATCATCACTGACGAACTCACTCCATCATTTTTCAGAGGGGTAGGTCAACCACCAACCAGGAAGTCATGATCTGACTGTGACTTGGATGATTTGGGGGTACCCCCCATGAATTTCTTAGGACACTTTCATGAGAAGAATCAATCACCTGCTTCTTTCGGTTGCGAAGAATAAACAAAACATGCTTCCTCCAAGATCGCACGTAGTCGATGGGCAAGTTGGTAAATTGTTTAATCATGTTTAATCATTTCGCTACGCTAACTGGTGGGTTTATGGTGGATAATACATATATACGTATATATATATAATTATGTATTATATATTATATTATATTATATTATATTATAATATATTATATTATATTATATTATATTATTTTATATTGTATATTATATATATAATATATTATATATTTAATATATTATGTATATATATATATATATTATGAATATAAAATAAATATGGAATATGGATGTGTCTGGAATAGGGTATATATATATCCCCAAATAACAATTCAAACAGGGAATATTGTGATTCACCGTTAGATTTTGGGGTACCCCATGTTCAGACAAACCCATATATATATATATACTTATTAGATATAGATATTGTGCATGAGTACGTATTGACATACTAGAGACTCCAGCTGGATTGCTTGTTTCCAAGACAAGTTTTAATTGGTGGGCCCAGGTTAGCTTTGTGGGCCCGTTGTGGACATCCTGAGGCGCATCCTACTGCTGTGCCAAGAAGACATTGGCACAATGGCTTCTACAGCAAACCCTTCAAGGCGCGGTTGAAGGTCCCTGGCCAAGAGTCCAGTGGATGTTTGTAGCAATGCATTGGTTACCCTCTGGTAAACTAACATAACTATGGAAAATCACTATTTTTAATAGGTAAATCAACTCTAAATGCCAATTTTCAATAGCTATGTTAAATTACCAGAGGGTACAGGGCAAACCTCTTTAGGACAACGATGGATTTCACAATCGACTTTTTGGAGAATTTTTAAGGATTTCCGGAATAGATGGTCTCATCAAAATCAGTCCAAAACACACATTGTATTACGTATTTTAATATGTGTTAATATATAGTCATATGTATATATATATAGTTATAATATATATATATATATAGTTATAATATATATATATACATGTTATATATATAGTTATAATATATATATATAGTTATAATATATATATATATAGTTATAATATATATAATATATATATATATATATTCATTTATAATTACTTATATAGTTATATATATATGATTATATATTACTATTATATGAGTACATATGAAATTTTACAATATTTTTTGATATTATATAATCTTATATATATAAATATATATATATATACAAATATTATACTTATGTATATTCTCAATCAGACAGTGCCAGCCACGGTAGCAGGAGCGTACTCGCCTGGCACGTGACGGAGTTGCAGAGCATTGCGAGTGGTTCCGCTGGCAAAAGTTCGGAGTCCTAGGTCTTGAAATGCTGGGAAGACCATAGGCAAATCATGGGCAAATCATGGGCAAAAATCCATCAGTTAGTTTTAAGTTTTGGCACTTTACCAGTTATCAGGTCTTGAGTTATGGAACATGTTCTACAACTGGCAGCTTCAATGGGAACATCAAATATATATATATATAGAGAGATGGAGAATTTCCACTTGCTAGTTACAGTTATGGCTCAAATACCAGTTACAGTATAAGTCAGTGAAATGACCCTATAAAAATGGAATGATAACCCCATTTACAACCATTTATAACCATTTGGAACCATTGATAACCATTTATAACCTTTTAAAAACATCTATTTATAAACATCAAACTCTAAAACCGTTCATAACTCGTAAAGGGCTTTAACTGTTGAAAGGGATGTGCCTGGAATGAGCGGAACATGTTTTTCCCCTTTTGCTGCCCAAGAGCCCAATCTGTGCCCAGATGAGTCAGATGATTCACTTGATGTAGGGAAACCGGTCACTTGTTCATAGATCTGTTGCACAGGGGCTTGATTTAGTCTGTCTAGATATTATCCAGTGGAAGGGAGATAAGGAGCTACGGGTACTTTCCCCCATTTTTTATCGGCAGCCAAGGAGCTATAAGAGTTTCCAAAGCACAGAGATTGGATCATCTTTATTTTGATCCATGATTTGCCGAAGATCATGCTGCCAGAAATGGACGGAGTCTTCACTTCATTGAGGAGATTCTCAAATCGATGGAAACTTGATTGCCCCTATTTTGATGATGACATATGGTGACTGCATGCTCTTTGATTTTGTTTGGTGACCCCTATACTTCTATTATTCTTGGCTCACCAAAGTTCGTCTCGAACATGTTTGCCTTTACCTGCAACTTGGCTAACCATCTGAATTATCACCTTGTAACATATCACTATTCATTGCTTCAATCATTTTTACTTATAAATCGAGATATGTATGTCGTGGTCAATTAGGTCCCAGCTGACCTATCCAACTGACCTATCAACTATCACCAGCAACTGACCTATCAACATCTATATATCAACCATCACCACTAGCTTCTCAACATTACCTATCAACATATATATATATATTTCTATATCTATATCTATATCTATTTCTATATATCTATATATACGTATATATATATATCAACAAAACTAGAACCAGCTAACCTATCAACCTACCTATCAACCAGCCGACCCTGGCGCACTTCCTTGCAGGCCCGCACCTCTCTCTGCGGAATCTCATGCGGCTGCCGAGGGTTTTTCCAGGTAGCTCCGTAGATGTTTTTTTTCGGAGATGTTGTGGGAAAATGATGGTTTTAACGGGGAGAATGGTGGTTTCATGATGTTTTGAAAACGGGATTCTTTGATTTCTATGGGGTTTCCAAAGTCATGGCGGTCCCCCAATAGCTGGTGTATAATGGGCAAATCCCCATCTAAAATGGATGATTTGGGAGTACCTTCAATATTCATATGTGAAAGTCGTGAAAGGAAGCCACTTTGATAATCTTTGGAATATGTTTTAATTATATGTGTGTTTTTTTTTAATATTATATTTGAATATGTGAAAATATTGTGAAAGTCGAATGGAATATATATCGCCAACATCACAGTCACAGAATGTCAACCCCGGATTAATAAACCAACAGCTTATTCATAGGGGAGGTGCCAATGTCAACCTAGTACTGCATCACTTTATCACTCTTATGGGCTTATGGGTTCACTAGAATCAACAGGGTCACATCCAAGTAATTGGGGTGGAGTGCATGCCATTCTTGAGTGGTTCTGCCCGAAGAAAAAGCATGAAAAAGCACTGCCGGGTATCGGTTAGTTCAGTATGAACTCGCCAAGACGGATGGTTTTATACTAGGTAAGATCTATAATGACTAACATAGCTATTGAACATTCCCCCAAAAAGAAAGTTCGTTGATTTACCGACCTTCGAGGGTGATGTTCCAGTTCGCAAAGTGTTAGTTTACCCCAGAGGGTAAGAATATGTTTGAGCATCCCCAATGACTTCTAGATTGGATCCTCCATCAATTGGTTTACCTGTGTCTGAGAATGGGGGAGTACTTAAATAGAATAGCCATCTGGGGAAAATGATGATGAACCATGAAATTCGGGGTAGCCATATGGGCATGGATCAATACCTATGAAAATACCATTTTTAGTGGGATGAACATCCATAAATCCCAGCTATTTTGATGTGAACTACAGGGGTACAGGGTTTTGACACACTGCCATATTTTCAGACAAAATCATCAATCGTTTTTGAGATTCTTCATTTTGGTCGATTGGAAACATTCAAACATGGGGTTTGGGCTCAAAATCAGGGGCAATGGAAAGCATAGTCTGTATGACTGTATGACGTTTGTTGATCCATTCAAAGTAGGAATTAAATGTCCTGTCCTAGTTTAGATTACCAGAGGTACTCCGTGGTGATCAGTGGTGATGTATTGTTTATGGACCCTTTTGTTTACCATGATTGGTCGCTTTAAGTTCATGTTCCCATCATTGTTGTTGTTTATTCATTGTTACCTATATGTTTGTTAGTTACATGAACCTCATGAAGAGACATGCATGAAGAATAATGAATGAAACACAGTTTTGTTATGACGTATATGTTGCTCATTCCCTATATTATTGGTTACATTATCCTTTCTTTCGTTGTAGACATCATTGGAACTTACATCATCCTCCCCTCAAAGAGGAACACCTGAGATCTGCAGGTCGACGAAGGCTGTTGCGGAACCACCGGAAGATGATGATGAGGACATGGCAGTTTTTGTTGGGGCGCAGAGCTGTTGGCTGATGCTTTGGAATATAAATTAGAATTATATATATACAATATATATATTACTTTAATTATATGTTTATATTATATATATATATATTGCCCATATGTATGTATATATATTTATATTATATTATATTATATTATATTATATTATGTTATGTTATGTTATGTTATATTATATTAGATTGTATTAGATTAGATTAGATTATATTATATTATAATATAATATTCTATTATATTGTATTATATTATACTATATTATATTATAGTTACATTATATTTACATTATGTATACATATATATACATACATATATATATATATATACGCATTATTTTTCCTTTTTTAAGAATGCCATTGGATAAAATGCACCATGACTAGAGAATTGATTGGGAAGCTCTGTTTGGAGACCTCTTAAGCACCTCCAGCCGTTGAATGCTTGACCATTCACTTGCTTTTGGATGGGCCCCATGGAGCCAAATATTTCAGAAGTTACGGCGACCCTTCCAAAATATACCCCACGTACATCCTCAGGAGGTATTTAGATCTATAGGAAAACATCTCCAGCTATCCCTGTCTGGGAATGATTGCCCAATGTCATCACGTTTGCAGCCCTCAGGAGCCACCACCTTTGGTCAGTCATGAGTGAGACCCTTTCGCTGTAAAAAAAGGTGAGGGAAGCCAGGTGTGAACACAGCATTTGGCAGTTGGAAGTTGCTAAAGTTGGAGTCGAAAGTCCAAGTGATGGACCGATTTTGTGATGGACGGATTTTCTGAGACCAGTGATGGAAATTTGAGGCACTGCAGCCACTTTGGCTTCAGACATTGAGGCGATCATGGACACGCTAGGGCCGAAATCGCTGAATGGCTTGCAACAAAAAAATGACTATCAACCCAGCTGAGATAGCAAGTGAGCTGGACATCAGGTTTCTGAGATGGTGTTTTTTTTTTTGTATAGGTCATAGCACATGACAATAAGAATGAGATGAGTCGAATAGTATCCCTGTTAAAATGAGCAAAACCCTTCGCACAGGTGAGATTCAATCCCAGTCTTGCAAACATGCTCCAGATTGATGATCCCATGGCCTCTTCTGGATTTGTTTCCACATGGTAAGCTATCGATTTCGGGCCACAGTCATTTCTTAGCTTGCTTAGCCTGTGATCCAACAGATTGCACCAGAAAAATGTCGGAGTCCGTCGATGCTACTGAGGCCAGATGTGGATTGCGCCAGTTCAAACATGGGGTGATTTAGGGCATATTTGGGGCTTGCGGGGGTTCAGCCATAGACAATCGGTGAATATCGGTGATATGCCAGATTGTTCCTTCTCCTCCGGCAGCCTCGGATCTCAACTGCGAGTTCCGGATCTCGTCCGAAAGAATGCCAGAATGGATGCCTGAAAAGATGCAAGATAGAATGTCAGAATATGCCAGATAACGTCAGAAAGAATGTCAAAGTATATGCCAGAAAGACTGTCAGATAGAATGTCTTATGCCATATGTACTTCCAGATGGTATGTCAGAAACTATGTCAGAATAGTGTTTCAGGGTGGGGGTAGCTCGAAGAAAGTAATTTATAGCATGTTATAGTTTTAAGAAGCGCTACCCGTGTCCCTGACTGTTTGCGGATGGCAGTGGCTGCTGCAGGGGTTAGAGTTAGATCTACCAGTACATCTATCTCTACATAATTAGTAGAGACCATGATTTCAGAAAAGCAAACAAGTAAATGAAAATAAACCAATTTTTAAAAGGAGTGAAGTAGCACCCAGCTCTTTTGAACCAGATGAAAGCCAGTTGTTTGCCCGCCTGGGAGTCCACATTCCTCTTGACAGCCACGCGGTTGAATTGTTACCTGAAATCCAGTGGATTATCAATGGTATCACTGTGATCATCATCATTTCTACCCCTTTGTGTTGGATGGATGCTTAAACCATAATCATTCCCAATTTTTGGTAGTTCGATCATATGTTTAGCCTAAACGTTGACCATTAAACCATCATGGTGTCCATTCTTTAGATAGTTAAACCACCTCTGCTCACCATCTGTATATTTTAACCATCACGTTTCATGTCCAAGTATGTTTGATAGTGAAACCATTTTTTCACAATGGTTTACAGTAAACCGCCTTTTTCTGGTTGGTGCTTTGGAACATGCATTTCATTTTTCCATTCAGTTGGGAATTTAATCATCCCAACTGACGAACTCATATTTTTCAGAGGGGTAGGTCAACCACCAACATCCACCAACCAGTTTTAATATGTTGTTGATCGTCAACCACCATGTTCATTCATGTTCCATCATTGTCTTGAAGGGAACATCTGCAGCAACCTTTTTTTTTGGACGATAGAAGGATGTTTTCCTGTATATAGTTTTTTCCTTACATAAACCCGTTGATCAGTTTTGAAATCCAGTCAATCCACTATATACCAACTTGCTTATATCCGAATTATTCACCAATGGTCTTTGTATGGATATATTCACCCCAAAATGACCCAAATGTGGGTAAATATTCTAGACATGGATCAAAAAATGGTATTCAGCATGTTTGAGAGTTCCAACAATCCAAGTCATGTCATTTTATCAGATTATCACCATGTTTTATGATAACCATACAATATCAGTTTTATATTCTAAAATTAATGATTCTCCGATCCATTCCAAGTCATTCACCGTGATTTCCAGCATGTTTTGAGAGTTCCATACCCATTAATGCTCCATGGTGCTGGCATATTTACGAACATTTACCCAAACAAAATCACCCAGTTTTGTAGGTCAAGAAATTACAGCACCATGGTTCGCATGAATGGGATATATGACCAGCTCCAAAGTGAAATATCTCAAGCCCCAAAACTCCAAAACTAGGCCGTTTCCGAAGCCGCGGCCAGTCACTGGGGCTCTGGGGCTCTGGGGGGCTGGGATCGGATGGTTCAAAAGTCCGGATGATGGGGCCCTGGATAGTAAGGAACAGGGCCTGGTTTGTATATCTCAAGTATGGTTTATGATGCTTGCAATGATGAATGTTTGATTATAATCTGGTTGGTGGTTTGGAACATGAATTTTATTTTCCATAATATATGGGATAATCCTTCCCATTGACTTTCATATTTTTCAAGATGGTTGAAACCACCAACCAGTAGTAGTTTAATGCATTTAAATGAACTATATAGTGTTCCAGGGGTTTATAAACCAACTCAGACATTGGCCCCACATGGGATGATGATTTTCTGTAGCGAAATGGTGATGAAAGCATGATTTTTTCACATCAAACTTGGTAATTTAACCGCCAAAGATGGTGGCATACTGGGCATATCTACTGTAGACTGTAAACTTGCGCTCGGTTTATGCGGACTGCTGGATCTCCACAATCTCAAAGATATTGGGGGTAAAAAGGCGGATTACTTCGGTATGAATAGAACGTAACATAGAGTAAAGATGTAAATCTGATCGGTTTGTGGTTGAAAATTGGTCCAGTCTAACTGGATCAACTAGCAAAAAATGATGATTCGACTAACCACAATTCGAATTGAGCCATCAACAATGAGGATAAGGTGGTATTGTAAATATGGGGCCCAAAAGTTATGTTAGGTGGTTAACCATATTCACCCATCTAGGCATATAGATCTACAAATTCAATCATGAATCATGTTGTAAACCTAGGTCTGAAAAAGTTACCTACCTTACCTTGGGAACCCACATAATACATACTATAGGATCCTATACTATAGCAAAACCATTTTCTAGACCACTCACAGACAGTGACACTTACAAAAATCGAAGCCTGTAGTCTTGAAGCAACATGTCCAGCAGTGGCCATTTCAGGAACCTAAATTGGAGGTATCTACCATATATAAGGCCAATGTAAGGGCTCTGTAAGGGGATAGACCCTGAAAATATGGCTTTATACGGTACAGTACCTCTAGTTTAGGGTCCTGAAATTCCCAATGAAGCAATGCCTGATGGGAAAAATGGTGACATATAAGCTCTGTGTGTACTAGAAATGCATCGAAATGCAAGGTCATACCCCATATGCATCCATATGCTCCATGGTGCTGGCATATTTACTAACATTTACCCCCAAAATGGCCCAGTTTTGTAGGTCAATATTACAGCACCATGGAGCATATGGGTACTTACATTTGCTTGAGGAACTTTCGGACAAATCACATACATTCCCTGACTGTATTCCCCGTAAAAAACGGGGATTTCCATCCGGATTTCCGGAAAAATCGAGAGCTCATCTCAGGTGTCATCCAGGAATTCAAATGAAGTGCTCTGGGTACAGGTGTCATCCTATTTTAGGTTGGCTGGTTGGTGGTTTCAAACATGGCATTTATTTTCCATACCCCATTAGTGCTCCATGGTGCTGTAATATTTACCTACAAAACTGGGCCATTTTTGGGGTAAATGTTAGTAAAGCATATGGGTAATATATGGGATGTCACCCTTCCCATTGACGAATTCATAGTTTTTCAAGATGGGCACATTGCACCACCAATCAGTTGGTTTCAAGGGCTTCTCTGGCCGGTAGTTTCCTTACTGGTGCTTAGCAGGGAATGAGGGAATGATCCATTGGCTCACCATCAATAATAATCCCAGCAACCCCCAGCAACCCATCCAGCAACCCTACGTAAAACGCACCAGTAAGTTTCAGTTTGCTTCAAAAAGACAACAACAATTTGGGAGATTTGGGATGATCCCCCCGGACAGTCCTGAGGTCAGGTCGTCATGGAGGCTGGTCCGCTGGAGTGATCTTGGAACCCGCCATGGGCGCGGCGCAACGCCCATTGCCGTTGCGCCGGCGCAGGTGTACTGGCCCGAGTTCGCCATGTTCCGGGTGGAAGATCAGGTTGGGACCCCTGCTGTCAGGGGACTTTTCTCGCGAATCACGGAGAGACTTGACATGCACATTGCCTAGGCCCTACTTAATGATGGCTAAGTTGACTTCTGAAATCTTATAAATAACTTACTGGGAATATCAAGATCTGCTCGACTCATGCGGTTCATACACCAAATCATGTACGGAGACCAACTGTTGCTACGAGGATCCCAAGTGACTTGTGGACGATCCCCCACCGGCATCGAAAAACAACACTCGAGATTGGGTGGGTGGGGTTGAAACCAACCAATTAATTACATATGAACCATGAAGGAGAATGTATAATGATATGTACTGTACATGATATATTACTATTATCATTATTATTATATTATATTATATTATATTATTATATATTATTATATATTATTATATTATAAAATAAAAATACACGTCCGCATACGTCCGTATATAACTATCGGATTGGTTATCTATATAATGTACAAACGCATATATTATATGTGTTCTAATCGTGTCTTATTATATGATTTATGTCATAGATGATATCTATGTCTATGCTTTTATCATTTTAGATTCTATATGTTCATCCTATATCAGATAATTTCCATATATCTATATTGTTATACATGCAGTATTTAGATTCCTTATTTATTTATGTTTATAATATGTTTAGATCCCTATTTGTAATTAGGTTCCACATTTAGATTGCTATATTTATAATATGTTTACATCTATTATATATGTGTTTGATCTCAGATTCCAGTGAAAGCACATGTATTCTCCAATGCTCAGGACGTGAAGCTGGATTTGAAGG